ATATACCAGTAGAAATCTCCGTTATTTCCACCGAACATTGGATATTTATGGTTTGTTGTAATGATTGGGTCAAATTTTATCCCAGCGTGAAAACATTGGGAATCTGTAACATGTGTCTTTCCATGATTCCGGAATTTTAGTTTTTTATGTCTTGTGTTGAAATTATCTCTGATACTTAAATTATCTCTGCGGTTTTCGGCATTGTATCTATTGCTGTATTCACCTTGGTAATTTATGTTGTAGTTTCCGTTATCATTCCTGTTGTAATTATCTGACCTATACGGTGAATTATTGTTATTCATATTTCTGCTAAAATTATTATTTTCTTGGTATTCGTAACTCGTGCCCCTGTAACCATTTTGATTTCCATTGAACGGCCTTTGATTAGATCTAACGAAATTATTCGGAAAATCTCTATGAGGTCTGAATTTTCTATCAAAAGAATTGTTTTGTTGATGTTTTCGTTGATACCGGTTAAAATATTTGGGTTGATTAACATGATTATCCCAATTATCTCGGTTCCTTTGTGATTTTGATTTTTCAGCGATGTGAATACACTGAAGTCTTTTTTCGATATCCTCAATTTGTTTTTCGTAGATACACTCTTCCTGTAAACATTTGACTAGTTCATTGAAGGTGTTATTTTTCTGTGATTTTGCCATAGTTTTCAAGTTCCTATTTTTCAAACCTCCCAAAAAATGTATCCTCAAATTCCGTAGTGCATATGACTCTCTGCCTTTGGCATTATTTTCTTCATATTCATCCACGTGTTCTTTTAATGTTAATGCCCTATCTTTGTAATCTTGAAAGGATTCGTTTGGTCCTTGCTCCAAAGTTTCGATTTTCTGAAAAATTTCTTCCAGTTTAACATTTGTCCCAAATTCTCTTTCGAGATTGGTTCTCACTTCGGGCCATGTTTCCGCATAAATGCGTTTGAAATACCGTGATGCCGGATCTTTCAATTTCATCAAAATTACCTGAATTAAAGGTTCATGCGATTCTTCTACTGGCAATTTCTTAGCGAAGAAATCGCACTGGTATAAAAACGATCGTAATTCTGAGGCCGCGCCTCTGAACTCTGGAATGCATTGAATAGCTCTTTCAGTTGGGAACTCTGCCATTTTTTGTTTGTTTTTCGAAGCAAACGAGAAAAAATGCGACTGTTTCTCAGTCTCTTATTAAATTATGGATATTGCTATTATCTTGCCTTTTCGCGAATTTAATTGGATCAAAAACGCTTTCCGCGTAAATTCAAGACAATTTTTTTTTCATGTTTTGTGTTTTGTAAATCAAATTTGCCTGTTGGCCTTTTAAATTTGTTTAAGTTAATTTATCGTTCCCTTAAAGTGGTTGATTAAGCATGAAGCATCTAGCAATAAATATTGCTTACAAAGATGAAATGTATACTATTTATAATATTGTACGCGTAAATTATTTATAATACGGTAATGTATCAGAACTTTACACAATTTTTATTTTTTTTTTTTTAACTGTGTACTCACCCTATCAGGAGCAGGATCAGGGTTATTCCTTGTTGAGTCTGCGATGAAGTTCCCAGATGAAGTCCCCATATCTTTATAGTTGACCAGATGTGCACCAATGTGCTGTACTCTTTATTAATCACTAGTTCACTTTTTCCTTTTTTTTGTAATTTAATCAAAGTCACTTTTTGGTTTTTTAACACTTACTGATTTTAGCCAGTCGAAATTTTGGCGTTCCAACACTTGAATATAGCGGTTTAGTTTCCGCTGTCACCAGATGAAGCGCCCATACTCCGTTGCGCATCCATATTTCACTTCCGTGAGGAAGCGCCCAACGTAGAGCATCAACTCGCGTGGTCTTTCTTTTTCCGTAAAATGAAAGACAGTGCAATTCCATTTCTACTGTATGGAAAAAGCTCTTTGATGAATCAGTTATCCTGAGGTTGGAACTGTGCTCGTCCGCACCTAGCAAACCTCGGATAATAAACTCATCAGAACAACTGCCCCGATTCTTTATTATTCGAAACCTTTTATACATGAATTTGTTACTTAAACTCTACACAATAGTTTTTCTCCAGTATGTACATATAAAGCGAGACAGATAGTTTTTCTCTTGGAAAGTCGGTGTCTGTTTTTTAACAAGAATTAATGCTCCTCGCGGTAGGAACGGCTATGTAGGATGCTTACTCACCAATGTTTACTTTGACCTTTCTCGAAGCACCTAGTTAAGCCAGCGCGCATCGCTGACGACGCGGTAGCAACTGTTTATAAACAACTGACCCTGGAAATGTGCGAAATTGTCACTGCTGCTGTTAAGTTGTGTATTTGCTCCTACCGTATGGGGGTCTATTACTGGTTAATTTCTTACTCAGATTGATATTGGAATTTGAGGCCTTGCACAGAGGATCACTATCCGGTGGTTTCATGTTCTGACAATGGAAATATATTCTTTATCAATACATACCGCTTGGGATTGTAGTCCTTCAACCTTTCATTTTCATTTTCTCCAACATTAGTTCCAGCTACGCCTTCCGTTGGATCGTGATGTAGGTACCGAATCATTTTGTTCTTTTTAAATCTTTTAATTTTCAGCAGCTTCCGAATGACGGTAGTTCACTCAATTTCACTTTCACTAGGTATCGATCCGAGTTTCAATCCTCTACTTGATCCACCATGACAAGTATTTCGGTTTGGAGTTGGAAAACCACCGGCTTGCTGGGATTAGGATACAAATTGCCGTAAAAATTTGCAGAACAAAACAAAAACAACAACGAGTACCGTGTTACAATTATTCGTTTCGGTGACATTAGGTCACACACACACACACAGTCACTGTTTATGAGCAGTCTCACTAACACTTGTGCGTCAAAGTTCCACCCTTGATTGACAGAGGCGCTGTTATCAGTGACGTCTGACATATGTATGGGAGAAGGGAACAGTTGCCAGTCTTCTTGATTTGTAGTCTTCGGTTTCAGTTTAATTGAAAGCTTGAGTGCCTTTTCATCCGCGTAGCCCCTCCAGTTTTCCCAGTAGTGCGCCGACTCTGAGACACAGTTCAAGGAGTCTCGTGCTGCTGAGTTGTTGTCGGGCAGAACATTAGTTTCACAGTCTTCGCGCGTCTCTTATTTAACATCGTCTCTGAACCAGGGCTCTACATTTTCGAAGCTCTAAAATGAACTCGTGTTTTTTTTCTCTCATACATACGTGTTCGACGCTTCATTTCTATAACGCCTAGCAAGACTATCAGCAAGAAATGATAGTGAAAAAGAAGCACGCTTAGAAGGAAACACTGGCTGTGGAACTTCTCGTCGTTGCTTTGCTCATCGCTTTCAATGTAACTAACGTCGATTTTCTAGTTAAACGAACCTCATTATGGCTTTCAATCCCCTTTCACGAACACTCTATCACCGATCTTTCAATTTATTTAAAATGCGTTATGTCCCGTTTTTGATCATTTTTTTTAGATAAATATATGGATGGAAGATAAATTAAAAATATTACGTGTAATCTTCACGTGTTTTCACGTATGAAATGCTTTAAATGTGTTATTTCATTTTCCGTCATATACGTCATGAAACCTCTGTTGATGTGTTTCATGAAAGAGAAAACTATCAAAGTCGAGCGCTCTTTCGCTCATCCCTTTCACCGAAGCTTGAAAGGAAGACCAATGGAGCGACGGGAGAAAGAGAGACATGCGATTGAACATTTGTTTGTGCACGCCGACTGAGGTTCTAGAATGCAGCGAAGCTGTTCGACTTTAACAGAAAAAGAAAGCCAGCAATCTCTTCGTCGCATCAATTTGGTCGATTGAAGCTGATATTGTGACGCCCTGCTCTGAACTATTCAACTCCGTAGCATCTATGGGGGCATCGGTGAGGCAGTGACCTCCCGTTAAAGTAAATGTTACATCAACAATATTCGTCCTTTCCCCGTAACGGAGAAGATGGGCGTGGCCGGCAATGGTAATTGTCATGCTTTTCCTGTTCTGAACTTTAATTGGAGAGCTATTCACTTCCAAATAGTTTTCCTTAAGCAATACGAAGAAGAACATTAAAGCTGCCAGTATGTAATCTATGAATCACTCCGTTACAAATGCAACGCAACGCAACGCAACGCAAATTTCATTCGACGATTTGTCTTTCGATCTTTTGTCCAAAATCGCATATTTGCTTGAAATGTTCCGTTCAATAATACCATTACGTTTCCTCTAAACTCACTGAATCTCTTAAAATTTTACTTTATGTCAGACTTTATCCTGGATTCCTTGATTTGAATTTACTGCTGTTCTATATTATTATGACTCAATATTTCGGTTGCCATGTGATTCCTAAGCAGTGCGTCGCTTGTCTGTGCAAACAAACACCATCAGGATAAACTGTAGAAGGTAAAATACGTTCCAATTTCTGTATGTTTGTGTCCTGCGCACTCTCTGTAGCTAGGTATCTAATTATTAATCTCACCCGTTTTGCGATATGTACGTATACACTTTTCATTAGTAAACATCAACACATTGAGCACACATAACGTGTATCTCGTTTACAGCTACCACAAGCCTGTAGTTAAGCTAGAACAGGGCTTAAATAAAATTGATTTGTTTTGATAACAGTTGAATTCCGCCGTAACGTTTCGTAGTTTTGTAAGTACAATTATTTTGAGGGTCAATTTACTTTGATGCGTTGTTTTTTTTCAAAAATTCAATGGTACGGATGCGGAATGCGATAGCTTCTCATAACGATATAAATTCAAGAATGATGCGTAGAAAACAAAACCGGCTTAGAGATTTCCGAAAACGCACAAAAGTAAACTGCCCTTCAAGTTGTTCACGAAAGGTGAATATGTAGGTCAGTTTTATTTATAGTGCCGTTTGTTTTTCATATTTCTCTCTCTCTCTCTCCAGATTGAATTTCGTTTATAACGCAAGTCGATGATTTTGGTATAATCAGTAATAAAGCTTGGCAGACTTGTTTTCTTTTTCATGCTTTGCTCTGTTTGAGTAGCATTTTGTTATACTTAAACTGAACTGATAGAGACGGAGACCGCGTGCATCTCTTTCTCCAGAGCAACAAGAAGATAAGCTTACGTGACTTGCTGGCCGTATTACTGCATTGACGTTGGTAGCGATCGGTCGATCCCTCGAATATCTCTTGCGTTCATTGGTGATTTAAAAAAAATCAAGTGTGAATTATTGCAGAAGAGTACAAACATGTCCGGATCCAAGGACAATCTAACTGCCGTCCTGTACGGAATTGAGGACTTAAGATTGGTGAGATTTCATAATTTCTCATTTTAGACCGTTGCATAGCCAAGTAATAACATGCTCGTTTCAGGAACAACGACCCATTCCAGTTCCAAAGGATGACGGTAAGTGATGTCTGCAAGTGTTCTCCGCATTGTTCATTGTTTGAAGAGCTGTTACGTCTGTTCCAGAGGTCCTCCTGGAGATGGATTGCGTCGGTATCTGCGGATCGGATGTTCACTACCTGGTCAACGGGCGCATCGGGGACTTTGTGGTTCGGAAACCGATGGTAATTGGTCATGAAGCGGCCGGAGTTGTCGCCCAGGTCGGTTCCAAAGTTCGCAACCTGAAGGTTGGTGATCGCGTGGCGATCGAACCAGGTTACGGTTGTCGCGTTTGCGACTTTTGCAAAGACGGACGCTACAATCTGTGCTTGGACATGATCTTCTGTGCAACGCCACCCTACGACGGAAACCTGACCAGATACTATACCCATCCGGCTGATTTCTGCTACAAACTGCCCCAGCATGTGACTATGGAGGAAGGAGCACTGCTGGAACCGCTGTCCGTAGGAGTTCACGCTTGTCGAAGGGCCGGCGTTGGTCTGGGTTCGCAAGTGTTGATCCTCGGAGCTGGTCCGATTGGATTGGTGACGCTCATTGCCGCCAAAGCGATGGGAGCTGGTAGGGTCGTGCTGACGGATCTACTGCAGAATCGACTGGACGTTGCCAAAGAGTTGGGAGCGGACGGAACCGTGGTCGTCGAAAGAGGAGCTGACGAACAGGAAGTCGTCAAGAAGGTCCATGCATTATTTGATGGTGCGCCAGATAAGACAATTGATTGCAGTGGAGCCGAGGCCACTTCGAGACTATCAATCTTGGCCACCCGATCGGGTGGCTGCGCCGTGCTAGTCGGTATGGGCCCAGCGGAAATCAAAATCCCACTGGTGAATGCACTGTCACGTGAGGTCGATATTCGTGGCGTGTTTCGCTATTGCAATGAGTATGTTTTGTAGAACGTGTTTTCGCTTTAAATCACTGGAATAATCGATTTGTTTTTTTCCTGATCAACAGCTACCCGTCTGCGTTGAGTCTCGTGGCGAGTGGTAAGATCAACGTGAAACGCCTGATAACGCATCACTTCAACATCGAGGAAACGGCGGAAGCTTTCAATACTTCTCGACACGGACTTGGCGGGGCCATCAAGGTTATGATTCACGTGCAACCGAAGGATAAGAATAATTCAAGGTAGATGCTAATGATGCTTAATTTAAGTAAACTTCAGTAAGTTAATTCGTAAATACCTGTGGAAAGTTCAGCAAAAAATTTGATGTTTTTAATTTAAGGTGATTAAATAAAACAACACTGTTTCCGGCTTAACAGTATACTGTGTTCATTTTTTTTTTAGATAGAGTGATATAACGACGGTCATGCTTCTAACAGAAACTGCTTTTTTCAAGAAAGACAAAAACTTCTAGAAAAAGAAGAAAACGAAACTTTAACATTTTTGAACCTAAAAGAATTGTATGAAAGAAGTTTCTGGAATAAGCTTATATAACATATATATAAGAAAAATAAAAGTCTGTACAATAAAAGTGCTTCTGTAACACTATTCTACCCCGTAACGTGGGTAGATCACCTTTTCGGGGTATGTTACGGGATGTAAGATCTACCACCGATTCCTAGTCTTGACTACTTCAAACTAGGGGAACGGGATTTTTCAGTAATCAAAGGAACACGTCTTAGTCCTTGTTACTTTTTATGCCTTGTTGATAGTGATAAGTCCTCGGGTTGCATGGACCGAGGATGATCTTGAAACAAGCAAAAAATGAGTTCTCGTGTAACATTTGAAAAAGGCCTATCCTCGTTGGCTTACCACGGCAACATAAACGAATTTCTCGCTAAGCTCGCAGCACAGTTTGACAGAAGATGGTGTTAGCTTGCCCCTGAACCAACACACTGAATGGGAAATTCATTTAAGCTGGGCTTAGATAGGGCAAGTCAATTGATCAAGTCAGTTGAATTCAACTGACTTGAACGTGAATTGAACGTGTAAACCATGCCATTCAACTGACTTGATCAACTCACTTGAATTGAAAAAAGTTGAACCAGGCTCAACTTTGCAAGCCAATTGAATTCAACTGAGTTGATCATTTGACTTGCCTAGTCTAAACCCAGCATTACAGTCGGGTTATTCGCGAAAGTGAAAATCGATCAACAATGGTAGGCATTTTTCTCGTGTAGCGTGAGTATTCGTTGTTCCCTAGTTTGAAGTGGTTAAGACTAGGGTTCTGATGCATGGTCATTATCGGTGTCTGCTTGTTTTTGTTGCTAAGGAATCCAATTTTGACTGATAAAGGGGCGCGTCTTTGGAGGGTGTTTCACTTCTCCGAAGGGTATAAATAGCGGGACCTTTCAATTAGAATCGATTCCTTGCGATGAAGGGAAGAATGACAACTGTATCAAAACCGAATACTTCATCATTTCTCATTCGTTATGGAGTAATACCAACAATCAATACGAAACTAACGATTTTAAATTGGCTCACCACTTTAGTAGCCTATTGGTCCCAAGCAAATTGACTAACGCGCCCCATTCTAGTCAAAATTCTAGTACTACACAATGTTTGTTTTGATTCGCTATGAAAGTTTGACAGATAAAATGAGGAGTTATTCGATTTTCCTATGATTCGAGGGGTGAATCGATTAGCTTGGGACCGAAGATAGTACCAGAGCTGAGCCAAAACGTTGAGCACGTTTCTTCGGGACCTACTAGTCTTAGAGTTACCTCTATGGTAATACGCTACTACCACAAACGAAGTGACAGACGACTTACTGGCGAAGAAATCCATTAAAATAATGTGGTTCACTGTAATAGAATTTTCTTAGAAGCTTGTGCCATCATCCACCAGATGGGTTAGTTTTTTGTTTTGATTTGAACAAAGTTGATTTTATGTACAATGATTCTTTGACAGAGTGCGTATCATTTTGTCATTTTTTTATGCATTTCAGTTTTGAGCAGAGTGAAAGAGATAGAACCAAAATATTCTAGTACATTTGGTGAAAATGCTAGTTCAATCCAATAGTAGTGTCAACAATCAATACGAAACTAACGATTTTAAATTGGCTCACCACTTTAGTAGCCTATTGGTCCCAAGCAAACGATTAACCTACCCTATTCTAGTTGAAATTCTATTACTACGCAATGTTTGTTTTGATTCGCTATGAAAGTTTGACAGATAACATCAGGGGTGTGTAGATTCATGCAGAACATGCAGGGGTGAGTGAAATATCTTGGGACTGCTTGGGACCGTTGTTCTGGTACTGAGTGAGCCAAAAATAATAATGATTTTCTTCGGGACCCAGTGGTCTTAGAGTTACCTCTATGGTTCTAGCATAGAGGCAACAATCAATACGAAACTAACGATTTTAAATTGGTTCACTACTTGACTAGCCTATTGGTCCCAAGCAAACGATTAACGATCTTATTCTAGTCGAAATTCTAGTACTACGCAATGCTTGTTTTGATTAGCTATGAAAGTTTGACAGATAAAATGAGGGGTTATTGGTTTTTCCTAGAAATACTCAGAGGGAGAGATAAGCGGAAGGAATGTTTTGAGCCAAATGAACTGTCAAAATCTGAGCCAATCGAACATTCCCTTTAGAATTTTTTCCGAGGATTTCTTATTCTTACTAGATTAAATTTGAGAGTTTTGCAATCGAACAGAAACTCAATCACCTTTATGTTTCGTGTGTTTCTCAAATTCAACTAGTTTTTTTTTTAATAAAAAACAATATTCTAACTCTATTGATTAAATGATCTTAGTTGGTTAATTAATGGCACAAAGAAATCTCGATGAACATTTCAAATGGTCTTATCTGATTTGATCGATTTTCTTCATCGACTTTCTCTTTTCATAACCACTACTATGCAAACAGATTTCGCGTTAATTCTACCACATAGTTTGATAAAGGAGGTTCTTATCTAGCGTCCAAAACGTCAATTACTACAGGGAAAGGTTTTGCAGCTGAGATAATAACGGAAGAGAAAATCGATGAAGAGAATCGATCAATGCAGATAAGACCATTTAAAATGTTCATCGAGAAATGTGCAAATTATAGCGATGTAATCAATAATTGATTATTATTATTTTGCACGTAAATCGAATCAAAAGTAACAGTCATGTAAAATTCTAGCTTCTAGCAAGGGTTGCAAGATTGTTCAGGTACAAATCCCTGCTGCCGAATTGTATTTTGTTTTCTCCGCCCATCTCTTCCTCTTAGTATTTCTAGTTTTTCCTATGTTTCGAGGGGTGAATCGATTAGCTTGGGACCGAAGAGAGTACCAGAGCTGAGCCAAAAAGTTGAGCACGTTATTTCGGGACCTTCTAGTCTTAGAGTTACCTCTATGATAGAGGTAATTCTAAGACAAGAAGGTCCCGAAGAAACGGGTTCTACTTTTTGGCTCAGCTCTGGTACTCTCTTCGGTCCCAAGCTAATCGATGCACCCCTCGAAACGTAGGAAAATCCGCACGAACTCTTCATTTCATCTGTCAAACTTTGATGGCGTGATTACCTCTCCCCCCAGCAGGCCTGCACTAAAAAAATATTCAAATCTAAATAGTATAAAAGTTACACTAAATTGCAACTCTCCTGACCGAAATGTCTTATACTACGGCAGGAAGACATACTTGGCATCTTCATCGCTGGAATTAGAGGGTAGAACGGGTCGAGCAGAAAGGATAGTTTAATTTGGGAAATGATTTCATAAAAAAAATGTCAGCAGATCGAGCGATGTGATGCCTAAGTAAACTTTAACATAAATATCAACTCACCTTAAATTCATCCATCTGAAGCATTGGAAGATATTCTTCCAGCCGTCTTGCGTCAGGTCTCTGGGACTGTTGTCATCTGACCGATCCCCACTTCAATTTCCTCCGTCGGTTTTCTGTCCTGGATTCTGCTCACTTTTTTTTTTTTTAATCATGTCAAAGGCTAAATCAGCAGTATACTCTGAACGAATACTTCATCGGTATTCAGACTTAGTATAATTTTGACAAAAAAAAAGAATTAGATTCAATGTATAAATATTGATTAAGCATAAAATGATTAAATTTTAATCTATCTGTGTATAGTAATATTTTTGAGTGTGGGTTTCATCCCAGTCGGCGCCGCCGGGATGTTCTGAGACATAACATCTCTGATCACGCCTTCCTTCGGAAGGAAAGTAAAGCCGTTGATCCACGGGTCATGAGTTGATGGGTCGATAGGTAGGGTCCAGGTGTGGGAGCTGCCTCCCTGGCGTCTGTAGCATTATGGTGCTCAGCACGGAAAACAAGATCGACAGAAAACAAATCGAGGAAAAAAAGAATCTAAGCATCGCACTAATAAATACCATAAACGAACAGTAATCCGGATGGTTGTTGAACTATCCTACAAATGGTTTGGATGATACCCCGAACACGTCGTTAAACTCTTCTTATAGTACGTTCAGACTACAGAGTTATAACATGTTATAGCGCTATCTTGATGGTGGTTTCTGTGTTGCAATTAGTTGACAACCGTTATAACATGTTATAACTCTCCAGTCTGGACAGCGTTTTATCGTTATTTTTATTAGGGCGGGCATCTATTTAGATTTGTCAATCGCACTTTATTCAATTTTGAGCAAAATTCGAGTCAATTTTGAGTGACTCTTATTGGCCGTGAAGTAAATAATTACGGCATCACTTTTCTCTTCTAGTACTGCACGAATCAATGCCACCATAATCCGCTCGGCCGGCAGCACTTCTTTTGTTTTGATTTTGTTGATGCGGATGCCAAGATGAGTTCAGCTTTGAAGGTGATCTCAAGTATTCAGTATTCGATGAAAGCACCGCGGGGAAGTGGAACACGGATAGAAACAATCAGCAATAGAAATTTGCCAACAAATTTCTATTGCTGATTGTTGATAATATGTATAAGTCAGCTAATAAGCAGACGCCTTACAAAGAGTTAATAAAGATCATGTGTCAAATGAAATGTATTAATGATGTATTAATATTGCGTATTCTCAAGTATTCTTAGAGGAACTATGTAGTTTGTCTTATGGAATGTCAAAGGTTGATGATATGGCAAAAATGTATAAGTGAAACACATGAATAAAATTATTTATTTTCGTTTCATGAAGGCAACGGAGCTCGTCGAGATATTAGCAGCAAGATGCGCTCACGCAATGTTTTCTGATATGCAAAAAGGTTGCTTTTGTCCTCAAACTGAGTACTTGGGAATTTACACCCATATATTTGTTTTCGTTCGAACCATACAAAACACTTTTTTTAAGTTCGAGAGCGCGACGCAATGAGTACAGAGAGAGGTGAAGCAGATCGTGAAATATGGTTGGATTAGTAATCCAAAATATTCAGGGATAACATTTTTGATAACGGCACAAAAGCATTTTTAAACAAACTTTCTAAGGCCGCGGCCAGGGTAAACGCGACACGCGACACGACGCGATGCGATTGACGCAAGGAATAATAATAAATAATAAGATTCTTTTGAATTTGTCGCGTCGCGTCGCGAATCGCGTCTACCCTGGCCGCGGCCTAAGGCCCTTTACACGCGATCCTGAGTACGCTCACGCAAACCAACAACATCATCGGATAGAGACAACTATCACCTCAAGAAAGTTTGAGAGGAAGAGGACCATAATAAAAACTTTATGCCTATTTTGCTTAACGACGTGTTCGGGTTATCATCCAAACCATTTGTGGAATAGTCCAACATTTGGGTTATCGTTCGTTTCTGGTAATTTTTTATTAAGGGAGACAATACGAACCACTTTTCTGTCAAACGCGAACCAGCTCGTGATTGGCCGATTTGAAGTGCGTAAGATAGAGGTAGAGATAGATATACATATAGCGAATTCGTTTATTATTCAGTTCCAACCTGGATCGGGGATCAAGATTGGGTCTGCTTGTTTTCTGACAAACGTCAGTTGGCTCGTTTGTTTTTAAATAGCTCAGGTTGAGGTTCACACTGACAAAAAGTTCGGTTTCGTACTGGGTTGGAACTGGTGTTAACCCCGATAATAAACGAATTCGCTAATAGAGATAGAGATGTAGATAAAATAATAAGAAGCCAGTTGTCTCCTCGTCCTCTTAGCAAAAAATCAACGTAAACGCAATTAGTGACGTCACAAATTGTTTGTATCATACACTCACACACTTAACCGATTGCCTAACCTCGGTATTATTCATTGCTGTGAGCGACGAGCGCGAAGAGTGGAGAGAGAGACAGCAAGCCGTCAAAAAGTCAAAACAAAATTTTGCCGCCATCGCTGAGGAAACCGCCAGAATCAAGTCGTGCTGCAAGCGGTAGGGGGGTGCATTTTCGTTTCTCTGCTGTGATCCAAGCTGGCGGTCATTAGTGCATATTAATTAGGAAAATTGTGTCGATTAGGCTGGAAGTTGGTGGAAAATGTTCTGACAATTGCGTGGCACCCGTTGGTTGAGTTTTATGGTGGATAATTCACGAGAAAGATGCGACAATTGATGGCCACTCCGCCGGCGACGTCATCGTCTTGCTGCTTCATTTGCAAGAGTCCCGAGGATAATGAGCTTCTATTGGGGAAGTTTCACAAAAAGTGGCGCATTCGAGTGCACTACCACTGTCTGGTAGGTTTGCTTCCAATTTGGGCTTTTTGGTTGGTTGTGAATGATTAAACTAATGGGAAATCAATTTCAGCTGCTGACGTCGAATTTGGTCCAGCATGGGGAAGACGAGGAGGGAATCTTTGGATTCATGGAGGAGGACATCAGAAATGAGGAAGCTCGTATCCGAGGACAAAAGTGTTACATCTGCAAGGAACGGTATGCAAACATTTCGTGTTGCGCGAAGAAGTGCTTCCGTTCATTCCATACGCTTTGTGGGATCCAGAATGAGTGCCTGTCGCATTACGTGGATACGTTCCAGTCGTGGTGCGATAAGCACGTAGCGCTGGTGGATAAGGTGAAACACTCCGAGACCGAAGCTTGTGGGATTTGCTACGATGAGATGGGACCGTACAGGAAGCTGGAATCGATTCGTGCCCCGTGCTGTCAGAATGGCTGGTTCCATCGGAGCTGCGTGGCACAGTTTGCCCAATCGGCGGGGTACTTTTTCAAGTGCCCTTTGTGCAACAATAAGGACGACTTTAGCCAGCAGATGCAGCAGCGTGGCATTTATATTCCGGAAAAGTAAGTGAAGCGGCGGAGGTGGGTGAATTGGTATTTGAATACTGAATATTTTTTTATTTGTTCCAGGGATGCCTCGTGGGAGCTGGAACCGAATGCATTCAACGATCAGTTGGAACGTCCTTCGGAGTGTGACGCTGAAGAGTGCCGCTGTCGGAATGGGCGAGATTACGACGATTGCAAGCGTTGGGATCTGATCCTGTGTGCAACGTGCGGTTCGACTTGTCGCCATGATCAGTGCATGGAGGTTCCCTCGAAGAACTATGTTTGCACCTTTTGTCGTCCGATTGTTGGTGATGAGCCGCCGGAAGCGGTTTTGAAGCTAGCCGAGGCTTCCCGAAGAGCGGAAGCAGCAAGACGGGCGGAAGCCGGTAACGATAGCATAGAGGGGAGTTCTAGGGGCCGATCACGTGGCAGACGTCAGATGGAATCGGCTGATTCAGATTCTGAAGAGTCAGTTGCATCGACGAGCAAACGCAAATCTCAGAAAAGACGAACCACAATAGACAGTGACGACAGCGATTCCGATCTGGTTTCTAAACGAAAGAAACCAGCGTCGAAGCGACGGCTGTCCACGTCTTCGTCTAGTTCTTCCTCGTTGGTTTCTTCGAATGGCGAAGAAATCAGTCTGGAGGAACTGGTCAAGAAGATTCCACTGCCACGAGGAGCTTCCGTCGAAAAATTGCTTCGAACCAAACCGGTCGTAAGGCTCGAGAAGCTCAGCTCGGAAAAGATCAAATCGTTGACTTCCTCGGAGAATGAAGACGAAGCATCCTCCGCCGGATCGTCGACCGTGTTCGATTTCAACTATCGTGTGAAGTTAAATAAAAAGCAGCGCCGAAAATCGATGGTAGAATTGCAGTCGATCAAAGAAGTCATCCGTTCCGACACGGACACGCTAACGGATGCCTCGGTGGGACAGGAGATCGTGCGTCCCAAGACGCCTGCCCAGAAATCTTTTGCAAAGCAGTTCAAACTGAAGCTTCTCGGGTCGAAAACCGTGCCACGAAAACGGTCCACCAGCGAGTCTGATCCGGAGTACGTTACAGCGAAGAAAGGTAAGTTGGTTTAATTTTAATGACGACCTTCCTTAGACGGTGAATTTTCCAGCATGTCCATCGCCCAGCAGCAAAAGTCGCGTTGCCCTTTTCCCATCCAACGACGCGGAAAACACATGCCCAAACAGTCCAATGAAGTCCTCCGTCGAACCAATCGACGTCATCGACCTATCCGCCTCCCCGATTCCATCTTCGCTAATCGAACCGAAACTGCTTCAGCGGCAGCCCGTATTCCCGCCAACGCCGCCGCCATTGTTCAGCGACAGTAGCTGTAAGCCTTCGACCAGCAGTGAAGGTCACCAGCAGCAGAAGACGCTGAACAGTTTCTTCAGGAAGACTCCTCCGGAAGAGGAAGGCTCCGCTACGAATGCTCCTGCTGATGGTGGAGGACCCGGCAGCAGCGGCAGTGCAATAGCCGCTCGTACTACTAAGCCTCCAAAGAGTGCGAAGAAGCCTATCGTTTCGAAAACACCGAAAACCATCCGGAAAAAGCTTGTGAAGTTGGTAAGTGTAGCAACTGCTGTGTGTGTGTGAGAGAGAGAGAAACCAGATTAATAACGTCTTCTTTTCGTGAACATAGGATCGTAGCCAACGTAATCTACTGGACTTTTTTAATCGATGCTGACGTGCTACTATCACCAACCACCTACGGCGTTTGAACGGTGGCGTAATTTTGCATTTGATGAAAACTGAACCCGATTTATCTATGGACTACGGATTCTTATGAAACGAATCATTTATCAATCTTAACATTTTTCGCAGTTCAATATAACAAGTTTTGTAATGATTACATACTTTTTTTTTAAATCTATTTTAAGGAGAACTTATGTTGCAGTAGTAGTTGCGAATAAATGGAGCATAACTGAAAAAAAAAAATGCAGAACTCAAACGGCAGAACATAAACTGTTTGGCGAGGACGATGACCTCCCTAAGGGTATAGGCTGGTATTCGCGAACTAAAGTTGACCCCGCGGTGAACATAAGAACGAAAAACATGATGATGGTTTCAAAATTCCTTCACGGAGAGGTTGTGGGAGAGAAGTTTTTAAATGCTTGTAATTAACTATTTAAGCATTTTAATTGAATTAGGTTTGCACTAAAAATACTCAGAGGGAGAGATAGGCGGAGAAAACAAAATACAATTCGGCAGCAGGGATTTGTTCCTAAATTATCTTGCAACCCTTGCTAGAAGCTAGCATTTCAAATGACTTGTATTTTTGGTTCGATTTACGTGCAAAATAATAATAATTGATTGCATCGATTTTGCACATTTCTTGGTGCCATTCATTAACCAACGAAGATCAATTAATCAATAGAGTTAGAATATTGTTTTTGGTTCCAAAAACTAGTTGAATATGAGAAGCACACAAAACATAAAGGTGATTGAATTTCTGTTCGATTGCAATGAGAGTATTCTGTATTCTGTATGTATTCTAGTAAGAATAAGAAATCCTCTGAAAAATTCTAATTGGAATGTTCGATTGGCTCAGATTTTGACAGTTCATTTGGCTCAAAACAATCTCTCCGCCCATCTCTCCCTCTGAGTATTTCTAGTTTGCACTAAGCGGTTAAAAATGTTAAAATCTATGCGAACATTGAGACGAAAAAAAAAAATATTTTATGAACATTTTAACCCCGTAGTGAAAACCAAATTTAATAAAAATACCTCACCGTGATAGAATTGTGAAACCATCATCATGTCAAAATTTCTCTCTTTCTCTACTAGGATCAGCTAGGATCAGCTTTTAATCTCCTATAGGTTTTCTCGGAAAGATACCTATACAATACTATGAGTTTGTTTTATCTTCATTTCAGTACCAACATTTCAAAGGGGCGTAATTGCTTTTGTAAACAATGGCTTTAGCTGTCGATTTCTCGCATCTTAGGCTGTGGTCCATTTGGTGAATTTTCACTTAAATTTGACACTTCGAAACTAAATTATAATGTTCGAAAATCCCTCTGTTGTTGATCGGCCAATTTTCGAGAAGGTGTGTGTCAAAATTGATTCCTTGTCTGTCAGATATAAGTCTGCTGGAATAGCAGGTTAATTTGGAAATTTTCCACCTGTCAAGTTTAAGTGAAAATTCGCCAAATGGAACACAGCCTTAAAGCTCACTCCTTCAAAATAACAATGCTAGATGGTAGAAGAAACATTCCTCTACCTATTGGTGTAATTATTTTTCATGGATGAGCTTTTACTCGCGAGAAATCGACGGCTAAAGCCATTGTTTACAAATGCAATTACGCCCCTTTGAAATGTTGACACTGATTTGACTAAATTTGGCGTTATAACTAAAGGCCCAAGCACAATGTGGGCGGAAGCGGAACGGAAACGGAAAGTTTGACAGTTGTCTCAAATGGCATCAAGATGCCTAACCGAAGTCAATTTGATTCTAACTAGTTTTCAATCCGACAAGTAGGCTTACTCAGATCGGGTTTTTCCGCTGCCGCTGCCGTTCCGCTTCCGCTGTCATTGCGCTTGGGCCTTAACAAGTTCTGCCCGCTATAGTTCGTGATGCATAATAGATACAGATTTGAGTTATGGGCAAAAGTTGTAGCTAATAACATAACCTACAAAAGCTCTATACATTATTGTGCAGAATTTTGTTGGTGAAAAAGTTAGAGGCAAATGAATGTTGAGGCTGTGAACCATTTGCCGAGCAGAGTGGCCAGATTATTTTTTTCATTATCGGTAGCTTCTCAAAACTTTTATCGGTAGTTATCGGTAGGTCGTCTTTAGAAGCATTTCCCGATACTTGAAACCTTTGTGAGCGGGGGGGGGGGGGGGGCACTCTGCTCCAGAATAATACACTGTCCTTCAGTTCTTCTGCTTTAAACGTGTCGAAATGAATATTTCTAATTCTAATGCGAATTCTGACTACATGGAAAACAAAACACAGGTATTGAACATTTTCAAGATTACCAAGGCTGTGTTCCATTTGGTGAATTTTCACTTAGGGGGGATGGGGGCAAGAAGACCATACGGGGCGAGATGGGCCACCGTTCGTTTGGGCATAATACCTATTAACTCAATCAATCTAAAATGCTTCTAATATGCATCTCCATGAAAACCGTATCAAAATTCAATTACATGTCTCCTCTAGAGATGAACTAGCCTAAGGCTAAAAATCTCTTAAATAAAGAATTAAAAAAAAAAAACAATTACATGTCTAAGATAATAATGGAAATGTAACATTTGCTCAAAATCTCTAGAATATTATAAGATATGCAGTCAAGAAAACAATCATTGCATCCACTTTATTACATTTTGCTGATCCGCTGGTTCTACAGCGAGCAATACACGTAACTGTTGCTAAAAGAACTTATGTTTCTGTTTCACATGATTCCTGAATGTTATTTTCTAGTGAAAACCTGTCAAAATGTTAACTTTTACTAGGGCGCTCATATTGCCCCGTATGGTTGTTGATCGGAGCAAAAACTGAAATTTTTCAAACATAATAATTTATTGAGCCTATCACATTTTATCCATATTTTGAACATTGTATATTATCAAACATATTCCAAACCACGAGCATGATTACAGCTATCATACATTTAAGAATGTTTTTCATGTGTTATGATGTGTTTTTCTTAGGGGGACCATATTGCCCCTATTTACCCTACATTTGACAATTGGAAAATTTTCAAATAAACCTGCTATTGTACCAGACTTATTTTTGACAGACCAGGAATCATTTTTGACAAACACCATCTCGAAAATCGGATGATCAACAACAGAGGGATTTTCGAACATTATAATTTATTTTCGAAGTGTCAAATGTAAGTGAAAATTTACCAAATGGAACACAGCCTTAAAATCTGTGATTATCGGTAGGAAAAGTGAAAAATCGGTAATTTTGAACCTTTCGTCTGTGAATCGGTAGGTATCCCGAAAATCGGTAGGACTACCGATAAATCGGTAGGTCTGGCCACCCTGTTGCCGAGTTAAATTTAACGCGTGGTTAAAAGTGACATTTCGAAAGTTATTTTATATGTTCGAAAATCCCCGTGCTGTCGATCGACCGGTTTTCGAGCCACGGTTGTCAAAATTTAACTTCTTGTCTGTCAGAAATAACCATGCTCGGATAGCAGGGTTAATCGATAACTTTTCATCTGTCAAATTTTAACCAAAAGTTAAAATAATCCACCAAATCAAGAGCCACATGTGAAAAGGGCATACAAGCTTTTTGTAAACAAACCTTTGTAGGCCCTCTTCTCGCCAACCAAGGGTCGCCCACACAAACTATCAACATCATCGGGAAGGGGAAACTTTCCCCTATCCGGCGATGTTGATGGTTTGCGTTGGTGTCATATGGGTGGCGAGAAAACGGCATAAGAATGTTTGTTTACAAAAAGCTTGTATGCCCTTTTCACATATTGTTCTTGAAATGGTTCAGAGCCTGAACCATTTGGCGAATTTTTTAACTTTTGGTTAAAATTTGACAGATGGAAAGTTACACGGCGAATGAGAACGACTCAAATTTGAGTTTAGTTCACTCATAATCGCCAAAAGTGCAGGAACTCAGCGATGAGTAAAATTTGTCTCATGGTTTCCTGTGGAAAACCTAAAAAATCAGCCGGAAAATGAGGAAATTAACGAAAATTTTATTCAGCCTCGGAGTAGTACCAATAGACTGAGTGAATCCAATCTTTACTTTTCTCAAATTCGGGAATTTTTCCCTGGAAAAGCCTGGAAAACCCTGGGAAAACATGAGGTAAATTAACTCATCGCTGAGTTCCTGCACTTTTGGCGATTATGAGTGTACTAAACTCAAATTTGAGTCGTTCTCATTCGCCGTGTATCGGTTAACCCTGCTATCCGAGCATGGTTATTTCTGACAGACAAGAAGTTAAATTTTGACCACCGTGCCTCGAAAACCGGTCGATCGACAGCACGGGGATTTTCGAACATAAGAAATAACTTTCGAAATGTCACTTTTAACCACGAGTTAAATTTAACTCGGCAAATGGTTCACAGCCTAAATAGCGCAAAATGAACCTTTGGATTGTCAGAAACCTCAAGTTACACTAAGGCTGTGAACCATTTGCCGAGTTAAATTTAACTCGTGGTTAAAAGTGACATTTCGAAAGTTATTTTCTATGTTCGAGAATCCCCGTGCTGTCGATCGACCGGTTTTCGACCCAAGGTTGTTAAAATTTAACTTCTTGAAGTAATGAAGTACACTGGAGTCGCTTTTTACGCGGGTGATACGTCCCGCGTAAAAAAAAACCGCGTAAAAAAAAACCGCGTAAATTCCGGAATCCGCGTAAAAAAAAACCGCGTAAATTCCGAAATCCGCGTAAAAAAAACCGAGTAAAAAAAGACCGTGTAAGAAAAAAACGCGTAAAAAGCGATATACCGCGTAAATTCTGAAATCCGCGTAAAAAAAAACCAAAATCCGCGTAAAAAAAAACCGCGTAAATTCCGAAATCCGCGTAAAAAAAAAACCGTGTAAAAAAAAACCGCGTAAAAAGCGACTCCAGTGTAATGAAATTGGGTTGTTAGCGGAATGCTAAATAAAACAGTAAAAAAGGTTATTTTCCATTTAATTCCACTTAATTAATTTTGGTATCCATGACAGATACGTATTTCGACTACAATGTGCAGTTGAGAGCAGGCAAACATCTAATATGCTATAAGCTTGAAATGCCATGTTGTAGTATACATATTTTTAGGCAATGATTTTTTTTTTGGCGCGGATTAGTACAAATTTAAAAAATCTTGTAACAGCTCTGGAATTTTTTAAATGCTTGTAATTAATTATTTAGGCATTTTAATTAAATTAGGTTT